ATGGTGGACACGGTCAAGCAGATGCAACGGGATGATCCTACCGCCAAGGAGCAGTGGCAGGCGCCGCGCTCACACTCCCAAGCCTTTGGTGTCGTCGTGCGTTGCCTGAGGTTTCCCTGAACAGCGACTGCGGTGGGGATCGGAGCCCTCTTGAGGCCCCCTTGGGGCACGTTCTGGGAGTCCTGGGGCCCTCTTGGACCCTTCTTGGGGGGCCTCTTAGGAGCCCTGGAGGGACTCTCGTCGCCATCCTGGAGGCCAAGGGTGGCCTTCCTTCTCTAGCCCCTGCAAGAGCCCTCAACACCTTCTCTTGGGGCGCTCTTGGGGCGCTCTTAGGGCCGTCTGGGTGGCATTGTAGGCCCATCGTGGGGCTCTATTGGGCCATCTTGAGGCCTCAGAAGTCCATCGGACGCGAAAAGCCGAGATTGCATAAGTCACTGATTCCCCTTAAGTGTCTAAGGGATGTTGGACTCTGAAGGGGTCCTTGAGGGACTCCGAGAGCACATGAAGCAGACTTGTGGCCATTTTGGTGCCTCTTGGAGGTATGTCGAAAGCTATCTTGGATCATCTTCGGCTACATTGAGCCTTCTTGGAGGCCGTCTCGGAGCATCGAGACCCTTTTGGAGACATCTTGGGCCAAAAAGGACCCCCTGATACCTCCGCCCCCCTCGCATCCAGACCCTTAGGAGGGGGTGTGAAGAAGGGGTCAAGACACCCTCCTCGCCTGCAAGCCGTCTCGCTCACTCCCACCCGCCCTCCAAACACAGAAGTAGCACCCGAGCCGCAGCGTGTTCAGCAGTAGTCTTTGGATGGACAGCTGATGGGAACCAACACAGACCCCATGTGCGCAACATGGGGGCGAGGTACGCCATGCGTGCCAGGCACGACATGCGTGCCAGGTGCGCCAGGCATCCCTGTGGCCCAAGCTTGCCAGGACGCCTGGTGCGCCAGATGCACCACGTGATCCACGTGCGCCATGTGTGCCGCATGCTCCAGCCGCGCCAGGTGCGCAACGTTTGGGGCACGCGCAGAGCGCGCCAGGTGCGCCTGCGCACGTGGCAGAACACATCGGAAAACTTGTCGGCCCCCACGATCCTTGTCGGAAACCAGTGCGCAATCGCGGCGGGTTGGTTATCATAGCGTCTGGTCGGCCTGCACATAGCAGGCAATATGCCAGCACCCCCGCCGTCCCAGTCAAAAACCATTGCACAGTGATCGCGGAGTGCCCGCGCATGATCCAGATTTTGCCTCTAAGTGCATCTTGTATTGTTTGTTGACAGGTTTGCTGGCCCTGCGCACAGCAGGCAATATGCTGGCACCTCCGCTGCCCCTGTCAAACAGCAATACAAAGTGCTCGCGCCCCCCCGATCATTACCCAAGATTTCGCCCTAAAGTGGGTTTCACATTGTTTTTTGGCAGGGGTGGTGGGGCGGGGTCTCACTGGTCCTGGTCGGCTGCCGGTCGCCTGGGGGAGGGGGTGCTTCTAGGGAATTGCGGTAGAGTCCCCCTCCCCGAAGGTGAAGAAGGGAGTTGTGGAAGAGGAGGGGCAGAACTCGTTGGACCGTCTACGCCCAGAGGGCTGGCGAGGCTCTTCGAAGCGAGGCCCCCGTTCCGTGTGCTGGGCGTCCTTCAGCACACGCCGCCCGCGCGTCGTGCCCGCGCGCCGGGCTCGCGTGCCGTGCCGCCCGCCCGCGTGCGTTGCCCCGGCCGTGCTCGGCAACGCCGTGCCGTCGCGCCGACGGTGACGCGCCGCCCGCGAGCCGCGCCCGCGGGCGGCGCCCGTGCGCCGTGCCGTCATGCCGTGGCGTGCCTTGCCCGTGCCCTGCGCCGTGCCCATGCGCCGTGCCGTCGTTCGTTGCGCTGCCGTGCCCGTGCCGTGCCCGCGCGCTCGCAGGCCACCGGTGCGCTGCGCTGCGCTGGGCAGGCAGTGCGTACTGTCACGCCGAGCTGGTGTGCAGGATCCTTCTGCCAGCGCAATCGACTCGTGTGCTTTGTTGCTGTCCTGGCCCCCCCCATCAAGAAGGCGAAGGCGTGATGGCCGGGGGGGGGGCCAGCTGCGACGGCCGAGCTCTCTCCACGCTCGCTGTACCTGAGGGCCCGTTTGGGGCCAGGGGGCCGTCCGAGTGCCAGCTCGGCGAGGGGCCCAACCGAGTCAGTGCCGCTGCGCTTGGCGCACTGCGTGGCCCACTGCTCCGGTGCTGTGCGCCTCGGGGCAGTGCAGGTCCGGGCAGCGGAGCAGGCGGGCAGAAGCGCGGGGCCGCGATCCGTGTGAGGGACGTGCCGGGATAGGCGCAGGCCCGCGTGCGAGCACGCCCACAAAAGCCATCGGTGGAGCTCCGTTTCGGGCACGACTTGCGCGAGGGCCGCGCCTCAAGGGGTGCGGGCCCGCAGGCGTCTGCGCCTACGGAGACCATCAGGTGGAGCGTGGTGTGGGGCCACGAGTTGCATGATGTGTGTGTGTGTGTGTGTGTGTGTGCCGAGATGGGCGCGGGCCGCTTTGCCT